GTGAAGTACGGTGGTCTGGGTGGGTGGGGGTTGTTTGGGTGGGGGGGTGGTTTGGGTGGGTGTGGTGGTGGGTTTTTTCTGGGCAGGTGGGGTGGGTTCGGTTTGGTTAGGGTTAGGTGGGGTGGGTGAAGTACGGTGGTCTGGGTGGGTGTGGCGGTGGGTTTTTCTGGGCAGGTAGGGTGGGTTCCGTTTGGTTAGGGTTAGGTGGGGTGGGTTTGGTTAGTGTTGTTACGGTTGTTGGGGTAGTTTGGGTACGTTAGGGTTAGGTGGGGTGAGGGTGGGGTTGACAATGGGTTTTTGGGTGGCTGAAGGTGGTGATAGACCGTGTCGGTGGTGATGCGACCTGTTTTTTTTTTAGTTTTATTTCACCAGTTTCCGACGGATTTGTATTCCGTCGGAAATTTTCAACGGACTTTCCGGTGCCAGAATTCCTCTTCCGACGGAACAATTCCGTTGGAATCTCTTTTCCGACCGAAATTCCGTCAGAAAATGTCGTTTTTCCTACAAAAGGGCTTTCGACAACCGGTTTCGACGGAAATTCCGTCGGAAACGGATTTTCCGACGAAATTAAGGGTGATTCGAAGGAATTTTTTCGTCGGAAATGGCCTGTTTTATAGTAGTACAATTGAGCTATAAATCTAATGTTTGAGACCTTTGAACAGCTTAACTATTTGAGCAACTAAGAACTATCTAAAACCCCCAGTGTGATAAGATAAATGATATCATCAATGGTACAGGTTTAGTTATATACTTATGTTGTCTTTTGCTGTGATCACACTCCTGCCTACTTCAACAATGCCCAAATTCAGGCAACAGAAGATGCAGGAATATAGCTTAACATAGTGTCTTGTGCATTCTTAGTGAACCACCGGCTGCTGCTAATGCCTATGATCTAAAGAAGAAGCTTCATTTCAGTTAAGTGGTACTAAAGTGATGTTGAGCTTTCGGTTATCTGTCATTCTTTTCAAGTTGGATTTTCTGTTAACTTGTGATAGCATGGAGAATTTCCTAGATGGAGTGAAATTATATTAACTTTTGAGTTTATCTTATTTACTTTTGAGTTTGTCTTATTTACTTTTAAGTTGATGGTAGTGTCTGAGTTTGATATATAATTTTGTGCATGGTTTTGATGGTAGTGAATTTGCTCCACTGGAGGATAGCAAAATCCAGCTCAGCTTCCTGGATAAAACACTCAGTGGTTGTGATACTATGTGTATGCCAGGTACAACATTTTTAAAATTGCTTCCCTCTTGAACCCTATTCATGCTGCTGGTGTGTAAAATAATTTCTTTGTAGGTTTTCAGGATCCTTTCTCACTAAAACCTGGATCACTCACTTGTCTTTCTAGAATCTCCAAGGCTTCCAAACCAAAAATTTCATCTGGTCTTAGCAACTGTTTTTGAAGTTGCTAATGTTGTCTTTGCTCATTTTATTATTGTCAACTTTATGTATACTAACCTACTAGCTCAAGAGGTAGAGCATTGTGAAAATGCACAAAAGATGTGGGTTTGAATCCCACGTAGGTTCATTTGTATTTACTTTAAGAAATATTTTATTTACTTCATATTATTTTGTATCTACTTTTATTGCTTAGAAACTCAAGCTCACTTATCCAAGGATTAAAGGTATGAAAGAAGGTTTTATAATCTTATACTACGTATTTAAGCATTCATAGCAATTGGAGACTGCCAATAAGCATTTCTTCATAGCAATTTCTTAATTTTAGAAGTACAGAAGGTGAATTTCATTTCTATTTACTCTAACTTATTTTTTATCTACTTTTATTACTAGAAACTCAAGCTCACTTATCTAAGGATTAAAGATATGTTCGCCCTAGACTGAGTGGATGTTATTGACCCATGCTCTAATTTGACCCATCTTTTTAAGTTTATTAATTTGCTTTCGAGTAGATATAATTTACTTTTGAGGAAATACTATTTACTTTTGAGTTAATATTATTTATTTACTTCTTTTTTACAGGATATTATTTATTTACTTGATGCTATTTTAATTTACTTTTTATCACTTTTTATTTACTTTTAAGATATTATGATTTACTTTTGAGATATAATTATTTACTTTTGATTTCTTTTCGAGCTATTTCAAATTACTTTAGAGATTTTTTTGAATTACTTTTTAATTTCTCTATTTACTTTAAAGATAGTTTGATTTACATTATGGGGTTTTTTTTATTATTTACTTTTGAATGTTATGTAGACAATATTTATAAGTAGCCAATACCTTTTTTCTTTGTGATATTAGAGAAAGGTGAGATTGTTGGAAGTTGAAATAGAGCTTACTTTTTGACATGTAGCTTATTTACTAATACATATACATTTATTATTTTTACATATACTTTTTATTTATTTTGATTTACTTTTGAGGCATTTTAATTAGCTTTAAAGTGTTTTATATTTACTTTTAGAGATAACCTATGTAGGAATTGAACCTACACCTCTATACATCCGCATAGTGCTCTACCACTTGAGCTAATAGGTTTACTTTAAAGTCTTTTTTATTTGCTTTAGATTAGATTTAATTTACTTTAGATTATTTTTACTAGTATTTATTTTCATCAAGCTGATACCTTCCTATAAATCTGATGCAACACAAAAAATGAAAACCAAGTCTTTCTAGAGCGTAGCCATGCCTTTGCCATTTCAGAACAACTACAATACACCCCATAATGCCTCCCTTCAAGCTAATAATATTAGCAATTTATCATTCTTTATTAAGCTAACAATAAGGTAATTAAAACTTGATTAATAAAGACAAATAAATAAAGCAGCACATATATACATACTTTGTCCAGGGACAAATGCAGACATAAGAGCATTTTAGTAGTTGATGGGATCACTCTTTAGGAAGGATATTTTCCCAAACACCACACCATGACAAAACAGCATAGGCAACAATCATAGCACTAAGTAAAAAAAAAAATTCACTAGATTGAGCAGAACTGCACTAGATAAGGCAAAACTATAGCAACATATTATAGATAATAGCAAAATAAGACTTCCAACTAGATAATAGCAATTTCATAGATACGACCACAATAATGAGCACAACTAGTTGATGCAAAAATTGTGAAGATGATCTATAGTTACGAAGCACTACTAGTTGGAGCAAAACTATACAAGTAGATGAAATATACTTATATTTTTTTTTTTTGAAAGAACCCACAAAAGGGACTAAATAGTTAAATAAGAGCAAGCTACATCAATAATACGGGGTGGGATTACATTATTCCACACTCTTTGACCGATCTCCCAAGGGTGAAAGTGAGCCAATTTGTGTGCTACTCTATTCCCACCGCGCTTAACAAAAGACCATTTAACGCAAACAAACATTGAAGACATCTCTAAAATATCCTCTAAAACTAAATGCAATGAGCTTGATCCTACTAACTTGTTTCTCAAAGCCTGAATGACAGCAAGGCAATCTCCTTCCACAATAATACTTCTCCGGCCCAAGTCATACGTAAATTTCATACCCCATATGATGATAGCCATAGCTTCAGCTACATTTGTCTCCTATCACTCGATGCCCTGCACCACAGAACAACCCTGAATCGAGCCATTACAGTCACGCAACACTGCCCCCAGACCAGTCCCTAACTCCCCTACAACTCCAGCATTAACATTCAGCTTTCCCCACCCCTCATCAGGTGGTGACCAGGCTATAAGAAGGGGCATACCAACACCCCCATTTTGATTTACTCTTATCATATTTCTATCTGCTTATTACAGGGGGTAAAAATCCTCAACCATAAACTCATTGGTTATCTACTTTTTGAGCAATTTAATCTACTATTAAAAATATTTAGTTTACTTTTAGTGGAATTATATTCAAGTCCACTTATAATTTTACAGATTCTAAAATAAAAATTCAACCTACACAAAAATCCACACTCTCCTCTCATCAATCTTGATGCCAGCTTATCCACACCACAACAACAACATAAAGTAGTCCACAAGCAGCTATCTTCCTACTTCCTAGCCTCCTCAAACCTAACACAACAGCAACAACGTCTACCATAATGTTATTATAAATCGATTAAAAGTTAATTTATAACTTCTACCATTATCTTAGCAAAAAAATTCTAGCACATTCAACAATCAATCCATCTCACTTTGATTTGCTACAGAAGAATTCCAAAATCTACATTCCCTTTGATTTTGATACCTCATATATTTTTTTATCACAAGATCAATTTTTCAATTTACTATAAAATATAATTGATTTGCTTTTACTTTGTTTCTATCTACATTTGCAATTGGTTAAATAATAGGATTCATTGAGGCATTTTGTCAAACACTCAGTGTGCATTAAGAAATCAACAACAATAATTGAATAATCAAAATTAATTCAATGTAAAGTAAAAAAAATAGACAAATTCAGGCATGGAAATCTCACTAGTGTTTAGAATCGAGCTCCAAATCATAAGCTAAAAACTTCAATTGTTAAAAACTTATAGTACGAATTCACTCAGTTCACATAGATTTGTTTGCAAACTCACCAAAATTCATATAAATTTGAATGACAATACTTTCAGATCTAGGTGTTTAGAAATTCTAGCAACAAAATTAATCGAATAATCATTCATAACCTCAAAAGCTCGAATTTCACTATAAAGAGTCCTAAATTGACAAAATAATTAACGATAAACCATAGATAGTGAAATTGAAATTCGTGATTCAAAAAAGAGGAAAACAAACATCTTACCTCAGAAGCTGCTTCAATGGAGTAGAGAAAGCTCGAAATCCGCTTCAATGGAGGTATCTAGGAAGTAGGGTAATCGCTACGCTTGAGGAGAGAGAAATGACAGAAAGTGCGCTTGATTGTGAATTAATCTGGGCCGCTCATCAAGCACGCATCTAAGTTAGATCTAACGACCCTAATTAATTCCTAGTTCCTATTATACAAGAGGTTCTTATTATAACTCGGTCCTCTATATATATATATAATAGGAATTAGGAACTCATGAGGACCGTCAGATCTAACAAGAAACACGCCTTAATGAACGACCAAGATAAATACTGAAGCGCGATCGTGAATTTTCTCTCTCCTTCACCACTTTCTCTCTCCTCAAGCACTATTTCTCTGCTCCACGAACTGGAAAACCTCCATTAATTGCAGAATCGATGTCTAAACAGGTATGTCGTTTGAATTTTTCTTATTATTTTTAATGAATTTAGAGTTTGAATTTTGCGAACTCCATTGATTTTGTAGAACGATTTTAGGTAAAATTAAGAAGTTATTCAACAACTCAATGCGAATTAAATTTTGTGAGTATTTATTTTAGTTAACCTGATTGTTATTATATTTTGGATCTCAAATTTGTGCTATTGGCGTGAACAAATTGTTGAGCGATTTTTTGGCTTCAAATATATGTGTGTTTCTTTTAATTATAACTTTAGTTATTTTTTTTACAGAATTTTAGAGTATATGATAATGTGCGATAAGAATTTTCTATAGTATAGGTTTTGTGTGTGTTGATGATTATTCAAAATTGCTTGCTTTAATTTATTGTAATGTTTATAAAAGTATATAGAATACTAGTAAAAGTAAATTAATTTGGCTTAGAGAATTAAATTTTCATACAATATGAACATGCTGAAATTGTTAAATTCTTCACAATGTTTTTTAATATTGAATCTGGAATATTGACTTATTGTTGGTATTACGATGAAAAAAGCAAGTAAATCCTACATAGCTAGGTTGGAGGAAGTCCCAAGGTTATAATTTATATCAATTACTGTTAGTTTAAGTCTTATAATATAGAAGAATTTGCAAACGTAGATACAAAATACTTAAAAGTAAATCAAAATATTCCAAAAGTAATTTGCTTAGGCTACCTGGTCTTACCGCAACTCTATTGTTCATCTGGCTCTATGGCAGAATGCGATGGTGGGTGTCATGGGTTTTTTACAGCTCGTGGAAGACTTCAAACTCTATGCATATGCTGTCTCAAGGGGAGCTGGATCTGTTCAAGTGAGTTCAGGGGAGAGATTGGTTTTATCTCGTGAGAAATGGGTGCACCCGGCTGATGGGCGGGTAAGAGTGAACACAGATGCTGCAGTTATGGAGGGGATTGGCGTGGGGCTGGGGGTCTGCATTCGGGATTTGGAGGGGAAGGTGCTTGCTGTGGCAGATCTGCTGTTGAATCTGTGAAGCTCGCTGAGGCTCTGGTAGCAAGGATGGGACTGAGGCTTGCTAAGAGGCTTGGATTTAAACACATTGAGTTAAAATGTGATGCTCTTGAAATTGTCAAGCTATATGGCTGGAGACCCTTGGCAGAACCCTAACAGAGAGAGTAATTGAAGATATTAGATATATGTGATTTGAAGAACCCTGGCAGATGCTACAAATTCTCTCGTGAGACTCTTCCTTCTTGCTTCATCATTTTCATTATTCTTATTAATATCGATCATTATGCTTATGCTATACTTTATGATATTTATATGCATGATTCAAGAAGTATATGAATTAAATTGGACTGAGTTATATGATTTGATTTGATTTAATGACAACAGAAATACGAGACCAAGTGTTCAATCAAAAGAATAACACGGTGACAATCATCGTGGTTTGCTGTAATCCTGAGAAGATCAAAAACAAGCTTTGCTGCAAAGCTGGCAAATCCATTAAGAGCATCGAGATCAAGCCTCCATTCAAGCCTGCTCCTCCCTCAACTGCCCAACTTGACAAACCTAAGCCTGCTCTTGCTCCAGCACGCGAGCCTCAAAAACCCAAGTTCGCTCTTGCTCTACCACCTAAGCCTGAAAAGCCTAAGCCATCTATTTCAAACATGGTAATAACATAACAACTCTATATCCTGCTCTAAAAGATGATCCTACATAAAAATACAGAAGATGAATAAGGTTGAATAAGGTAATTCCTACATCAATTATCTCTAAAGTAAAAGTAAATTAAATCTAATCTAAAGTAAATAAAAAAGATTTTAAAGTAAACCTAATAACTCAAGTGGTAGAGCACTATGCGGATGCATAGAGGTGTAGGTTCGATTCCTACATAGGTTATCTTAAAAAGTAATTATAAAACACTCTAAATTTATTAAAATTACATCAAAAGTAAATCAAAATATCCCAAAAGTAGAGAAACTAAAAACGTAAATTAATATATCGCTAAAGTAAATCAAAATAACTATTAAAAGAAATCAAAAGTAGAGCAAAATATGTCAGAAGTAAATCATAATTATTCTAAAGTAAATAAATAATGTTAAAAAGTAAAACAAAATATTAATCAAATTAGCTCTAAAGTATATGAATAATAAATTATCTTGAAATGATAAATGACTAAGGAAACTTTGTTATAGCACATAAACTCCAAGTCATTTGACTTTCATATCCTTACAAAATGAGTCAAATTTTAAGAAACAAGTATATTGAGTTCGATAATTAAAAGTAAATAAAACTATATCTAAAGCAAACAAAAAAAAAAAGAATATGATCAAAAGTAAATAACTAAACTTTATTACGAATTCTAATCTTTAGATTACACAAACCTACGTGGGATTTGAATCCACAGTTTTTGTGTAATTGCACAATGCTCTACCAATTGAGCTAGTAGGATAATATTTATTTAGTTTTTTTAAAAAAAATCAAAAGTAAATAAAAAAATATCAAAATTAAATCAAAACGTCTATACAGTATACGTAGTAAACTCATGAGGGGTTAGAAACCCTATATCATTTCAAGCAGCTCAAATAAATAGATTAATAGACCTATAAGTAACAATTCCCCTGAAATTTTGAAGCCGATTCTATCACCAATGATGCAGTAAGGCAGGGCAAACAATAAATAAAGGTAACAGACAACAAACCAAACATCAAGTAACAGGACCACACAGATCCATATTAATTGTACAAGGTAATAGCCAACCCTCTATTGCTTTACTTCATCAAACTCTCGATACTTACGGAATCAACCTTACCATTAATATGCTTATGGGTGAAGTTTGGAAGTTACAAAGGATGCTTTGATCTCATAATGGTCATAGGTTGAGAATTGAGCTATGACAGATGGATTAAGTTTACCACATTACTAAGAACATCATGCATTGGTTGTACATCTGAATCATGCTTCGGGAGAAACTTTCTCCACCAGCAAAGAATAGGTGATGTCCTTGTTGAAATGCTAATTGCCTCTTTACTCTCACTAATTAAATCCTTACTTAATTTACTTATATTATAGGCCATTATATAATATGAATATTAACAAGATTCATGTATGAAAGTGACCATCAGTTTATCATTTTTCAGATCTGGTTGGAACCATTCAATGCAAGTCTTTTTTCACTTTCTATTTGGGGGGTGAGATAAACAAATAAAAAGCTCATGTCAGTAGATAATATTTAGATGTTGCACCTTGAGGATAGAGACTCATTTATCAACATTTAAAACCAATCAGACAGGCAGACTAGAGTTGACAAATGAATGCAATAAGGCTAGACGTATTCACCATAGATTGACTTATTTGTGTGTAAGAACAAGTTTAGAGACCAATTAAAAACGAATGATTGGTCAAAGACTAGGAAAAAAAACAAAAAAAAAATCATAGGAGTTCTAAAACAGGAAAGTCTAAGTTCCTCTTAATAATACATTCCAAATTCCTACAACGGTTAAGGACTATGCTTTCCACTATCAATTAAAAATAGCAAGCGAATTGTTACAAGAATTACCAAAAATTAATCATTATCAACTCAAAAAGTAAGTAATATCAGCAAAAAAGTAAATAATATAAGCACAAAAGTAAATAATATAATCGAATTGGGCTCATAAATAAAATTGAGTTAAATGTGCACTGTAATCCTCACATTGATCGCCTTTACAAGAACCACAACAGTGAGGGCAGTGACCTTCAACAAAACCATTATTTGGCAAATGAAATCAAAACCATTACTTCAAACAAGGGCCTCTACGCTAAACCTTCACTATTCCCACATTATCTCTAAAACAAAGCCTCAAACCTTTTAGGACATATTCAAGTTCCAAAGAACAAGTTCAAGCCAAATATAAACATTTTCAGTATTCAAACAATTTAAAAATTATATGCCAAAGGCAAATCAAAGAGATTTAAAAAATGGAATAGCTATAATTCTGGATTATTGAAGCATAACATAATTATCTGATATACTATTATTATTGAAATTCGATTAGAAAGAGTAAATAATTGAAAAATAAGATTGTACAGAACTTACCACATACTTCTCAATTGCAGTTTCGCATATCTTATTAACTTAATAAGCCTCAGACAAATCCTTTAATTCCAATAAATAGAAATGAAACAAGCAAATTGAAATCACAAAACCATTATTTAGCAAATGAAATCTTAAATAAACAAACATATAATTGTAAAAACGTAAATCACACCAAAAAAAACCCTGATTCAAGCAAATAAGTGGAAAACATCAATCGAACAAACAATGAAAACAAAAAGAATCAGGAAAAAAACCTTCAGTAATGCTGATTCTTCAAATTCCTAATTCGAAGTTCTTCAGTTCAACCATGGAAATTCTTGGCTCAGATTTAAGACGCAAGGGGATCGGAGAATCCCTGTTGTTTTCTTGGTAGAACGAAAGAGAGAGCGATGAATTGGAAGAATACAAAAACCAATCATTTTTCTTTTAAAAGTAAATACTTTAAATTTACCAAAATGCCATTACAAAAGCAAAAACGCGGATGGCATCTCAACCGTCAGATCAAATGCAATCAAAGGCTGAGATTGGTTCCTAGTTCCTATTATTCACCTAGGTTCTCACATGATCTCAACACTCTCTCTCACTCTCTCTCTCTCTCTATATATATATATATAGGAGAGGGATCCGGTAAGAACCCCTCCTTATATAAGGACTCAATCTTATATAAGAATCTCTCTATGTTCTAAACTTTTTTCAAACTTATGTCTAAAGTTTTCCTATGTTCTAATTTTTTTTCTGCTTATGTTCTAAATTATTTCATATATTCTAAATTATTTTTTCAGCTTATGTTCAATTATTTTTATCCTATATTCTATATTATTTTTTTAGCTTATGTTCTAAATTTTTTCCTATGTTCTAAATTAATTTTACAACTTATGCTCTAAATTTTTTCCTATGTTCTAAATTATTTTTCATATGTTCTAAATGTTTGTTTGTTTATGTTATAAATTTTTCCTATGTTCTAAATTTTTTTTCCTATATTCTATATTTTTTTTCAGCTTATGTTCTAAATTTTTTCCTATGTTCTAAATTATTTTTTCAGCTTATGTTCTAAATTTTTTCCTATGTTCTAAATTATTTTTTCAATTTATGTTCTAAATTTTTTCCTATGTTCTAAATTATTTTTTCAATTTATGTTCTAAATTTTTTCCTATATTCTAAATTATTTTTCATATGTTCTAAATGTTTGTTTGTTTATGTTCTAAACTTTTCCTATGTTCTAAATTTTTTCCCTATATTATATATTATTTTTTCAGCTTATGTTCAAATTTTTTCCTATGTTCTAAATTATTTTTACAGCTTATGTTCTAAATGCTTGTTTGCTTATGTTCTAAATTTTCTTATGTTCTAAATTTTTTCTTAAATTCTAAATTATTTTTTCAGTTTATGTTTTAAATTTTTCCTATGTTCAAAATTATTTTTTCAGTTTATGTTCTAAATTTTCCTATGTTCTAAATTATTTTTCATATGTTCTAAATGTTTGTTTGTTTATGTTCTAAATTTTTTTTCCTATATTCTATATTATTTTTTCAGCTTATGTTCTAAATTTTTACCTATGTTCTAAATTATTTTTTCAGCTTATGTTAATATTATTTCCTATGTTCTAAATGTTTGTTTGCTTATGTTCTAAATTTTTCCTATGTTTTAAATTTTTTTCCTATGTTCTAAAATTTTTCTTATGTTCTAATTTTTATTTTCTATGTTCTATATTTCTACCTATATTCTAAATTTTTTTCCTACGTGGGATTCGAACCCACATCTTATGTGCATTTGCACAATGCTCTCCTGTTGAGCTTGTAGGCTAATGTATATAAAAGCTTTAAATTACAAAAATTACTAAAAACTAAATTAAAAAAAATTCTCAAAAGTAAATTATGCATAAGCAGATATGACAAAGATATAGAAATGACTAGCTGAACATATGCAATGATATTTTAGAACACATGCAATAAAAGTTTATTTATAGCTGTTAGTATCATATAATCCTTCCCCACCATCTCCACTAATGGGAAGTATTTGTCCTTATGTTCTAATTGTCTCTTCTAAATCCATTATATTTATTCTTAATTATGTTCTAAATAATTTTTTTCTCTTCATCAAACAAACCCAGCAAGTTAAATTTGAACTATCTAACTATAAATTTAGGTAACAAATTTAAAACTATAGATTTGTAATACGTGATTCATCAAAGTGAAATTCAAATGGAAATTGGCTAAAAAAAATAGAATTCAACCAAAACATACAACATTATAGACTGAATAACTCTATATAATGCAGAATGTTTAGCAAAATATCATCGAAAAATCGATCTAAAACAGCACACGAGTCAAAAAATAAATAAAACTCATAATAAATGAACACAAAAACAAAGCATGTATTGAAATATCATCCGATTAGAACAATTAGACTATAATTCAACAATTAGAACTATTTTACATCAGACATAACATCAGTGAGTCATTATTGTTTGCTGAACTGGTGGCAGACAAGGACATATAGAGTAAACCTTCGAACATATAAGGTAAACTTTAGAACATAGTAAGATAACTTTAGAACATAGATTGAAAAACTTTAGAACATATAAAGAAACTTTAGAATATATAATTATTTTAGAACACAATGAATTACTTTATGTTCTAAATTTCCTTATAACATAGTGAATTATGTTCTAAATTTGTTTTGCTTAAAACGTAGTAAATTACTTTATGTTCTAAATTTGTTTAGAACATAGCTATGTTCTAAATTTGCTTTTGCTTAGAACATAGTGAACTACTTTAGAACATAAAGGGTAAAGTTTATAACATAGTGAACTATTTTATTAGAACCTAAAGGATATAGTTTAGAACATAGTGAGTTATTTTAGAGATAAAGGATATAGTTTAGAATATAGAGAGATTAATTTAAAACATATAGGGTAAAGTTTAGAACATAGAGAGAAAACTTTAGAACATAGAAGGAAAACTTTAGAACATAGTGAATTACGATATGTTCTAAAGTTGCTTTATGTTCTAAACTATAAACTTTATGTTATAGTTTTCAAAAACACAAAATGTGGCAAAATCAACAAATTGTATTGATAATAAATCAACAAATTTTATTAAAAATAAATCAAACAAATACACAAAATTCTAGGGGAAAAAGTGTTGCATATAAATTTAATTATAGTAGACTAATCAAGTAATCATGCACAACTACTCAATTATTACATAAGTAACCAAATTAAGCAACTCATCACAACCTGTAATTATTTTTGTTTTTAAGAAGACTTTCTCAGCGCAATTAAAAGCACTATATATAAGTATTGCAATGGTTGAATTTAGCTAACCTGCAACAATCAGAGTAGCTACAAAAAAAAGGAAGGCTGCCATGAAGCAATCAGGGGAAAATTAGCGTTCATGGCACCCCCACAAAGGCCTAACAGGTCCAACAGGAACCTTTTATACAGAAAATAAAAGACTGAAAGTAAAAGACAGTAATAAAATAAACCAAGCAACAACATTTCTAGACAAAAGGGGGTCTGAAGCAGACTCAGGAAGTACAACCGTAACCTAATCAGTGCCCATTAGTAACATAGAACTTCACCAACTTTAATAGCCAGGACATTTTTTTTTTTTTTTTTTTTCTTTTTAACTATAGAAACCACTAAAGGACATGGTCCATAGAGTAATCCTTGAAAAAATACGGAGTGCATGCTATTGCTTGCGGATAAAAGCATTTAAAAGGATGCTTATTTCGGCTTGGTGCTGTCAAAACCGTTTCCTGGTTGAGCTTGTTTTCAACTCATCCATAGAGTTCGAGCTCCTAGGCTTCTTGGTGCCAAATTTGCCGAGCTTAGAACATATTGTGGCACCACAAAAAGACTACTAAGTAGAAATATATGTGCACATCAAATTGAATAGCACTTTAAAACTTATAAGTCGGTTAATAATAGTTATTTTAAGGTTGTACGGAGAAGTTAGCTTACTGATGAAACCAAGGTAGACATGTGAATTATTCAAGCTATTCCATCCACTTTGAAAGGTTAGAACACAAGCCGTGCATAAGCTTTGTAGAGCATACTTGTGTGTTCTAATTATATCCATTGTTCAGATTCTTTCTGCTTCAAAGAATTTCTTGTAAATCCACTATGCTTATGTTCTAATTAATTTTTCTCTCCTCATCAAACACAAACCAAGCAAGTTCAATTGCCAATGTAACTAGAAATTGACAAATTTTGCAATAATCTATTCAAAGTGAAATTGACAAAAATAACAGAATTCTACAAAATATATAACATCAAACTGAATCAAGATGTGAAAATACAGAATATATATTTAGCATAATATCATCCAGAAAATCAATCACAAACACAAATTTTATAAATTAAACATAACTTCTAATAAACGAGCAGATGAAATCGTAAATAAAAAAACAATAAAAATCGAAAAAGTTAAAGTCGAAATTGATGAAATTAGGAAAAAAAATATAAGGAAAAATCGCAAAAGCTGGAAATAAACAAAAAAAAACGCAAACATCTGGAAAAAAAATCTGAAAGATTAATCGCAAAAATTGATGAATAACATGAAATCAGGAAATAGAATGGATAAAAAAATCGCAAGAATTAATGAATAACACGAAATCAGGAAATAGAATGGATGAAAAAAAATCGCAAAAATCGGAAAAAAAAAATGTGGGAAAATCGATGAATTTAACAAATAAAATCGCATAAATTTGAACAAAAAATCAGAACAAAAAATAAAAATCTAAAACAATTGATAAACTAACAACAATTTATCCAAAAGCTGAGAATTTTTTTGATTAATCTGATGAAGATTTGGCTGCCGAGGAGAGAGAAGCAGGTAGCGTGAGGATAGAGAAGTAGTGTGAGGATAGAGAAGTAGTGTGAGGAGAGAGAAACAAAAGAACGTAGTTATGTTTGAAAGGGGAAAAAAATTGGATTGTACAAGATCCTCAATATTACTTAAATGCCATTATTAAGATGAATTTGAGCGGTTAGATCAAAACTAATATAAGGCTGAGATTGGTTCTTATATAAAATTGAGTTCTTATATAGAGGAGGATTCTTACATGAGCCTTCCTCGGGGAGGGATCCGGTAAAAACCCCTCCTTATATAAGAACCCTAGTTATATAAGAACCAATCTCAGCCGTAAAATCAAAATAGGATGGGCGGTCAGGATAAA